CGCTTGTGAAGCGGCTGCAGCCCCTTGAGCGCTCCGTGATGGGTTGGGCTGGGCGGGGCAGCCACGCCTTGGGCAGCTCGGAGAAGCTTTGGGATTGTGCAGAAAAAATGGCTCGTAGAGATAAATAGCGGGGTTTTCATTTTGCCCGTGATGCCGCATTTCCTGCCCCGCTCTGCCCTTCTGGCGTGGCCCGGGGCCGCTCGGTGAGCGCTGACCTTCAGTGCGGGCTGCCCGAACAAAAGGAGGGACTGGGGAACTTCTGGGCGCTCTCTCAGCCCGTGGGGAGGCCACGCTTTGTGTTTATGCAATGCACAATACACGTGTGTGTGTGTGTGTGTGTCCTTGAGCAGGGATTAAGTGTGACAGTCACAACACCTGCGTGAAGTGTTGGTAATTCCTTATTAACTCGAAGCCTTTGTAATCTCCAGCAGCAGAATTCATAGGGGCACGTTGTTGTGTTGTCTCTGTGCCCTGGGTTTTCTTGCTGCTGCATCAGCAGGATAAACCCCATGATGTGACTTCAGTGACTTGTCATTTCTCAAAATTATTTTGACTGAATCCATTTTTTCCCTTTCAAAAGCTGATCCCGGGATCAACATATCTTACTGCATATAAATAAGCTGTTGCCACACTCCCTGTACCAGGTAACTTTCTTTATATTTCATCCAAAAAATGCCCTGAGAAATTCTTCCCTGTTTCTTTAACTCTCACAGTGTTCATTTTCTTATGAAAAAAAAGACATGTGTCTATATACATGGATATGTAAAAAATGTATTTTAAAATGGTTTTACAACCTTGTGGTGGGCTGAGCCAGGCTAGATGCTAAGCACCCACTAAAACTGCTCCATCACTGCCCTCTTTAACTCAACAACAGAAGGAAAATATAAGGAAAGGTTCCTGGACTGAGATAAGGGAGAGATCACTCACCATTTGCCATCATGGGCAAAACAGACTCCACCGGGGGAAATTGGTAATAAATTAAACTAATTAAATTTGAGTAGGATAATGAGAAATAAAGCCAAATCTTACAAACATCTTCCTGGCCCTCTCCCTTCTTTCCAGCCTTAACTTTACTCCTGATGTTCTCTGCCTGCCCTCAGAGGATGGGGATTGCAGTCAGTTCCTTGCACGCTGTCTCTGCTGCTCCATCCTGCTCAGGGGAAGGTCTCACACCTTCCCAATGGGAGACAGTCCTCCATGGGCTTCTCCAACATAAATCCTTCCTGCAGGCTGCTCTCCAGCCTGCTTTCCCTTCCATGGTTATAACTCCTGCCAGAAAACCACCCCAGCACAGGATTCCTGTGGGGCACACTGGGATTTCCTCTGCTCCAGTCCTCCACAGGGTGTAGGTGGATCTGTGCTTCCCTGGGGCTCTCCAGGGGCTGTGGGTGAATCTCTGCTCCCCATGGATCTCCAGGGGCTGCAGGTGGATCTCTGCTCCCCTGTGGACCTCTCGGGCTTCTGGGTGAATCTCTGCTCCCCATGGATCTCCATGGCCTGTGGATGGAGCTCTGCTCCCCCTTGGATTTCCATGGGCTGTGGTTGAATCTCTGCTCCCCTGTGGATCCCCATGGGCTCTGGGTGGATCTCTGCTCCCTGGGCTGCATCCCAGGCTGCCAGGGGATCCATGCTCCAGGGCCTGGAGCCCCTCCTGCTCTGACCCTGGGGCCTGCAGGGCTGTTTTTCCCAGTTTTTCCCATGTATTCCCCCTCCTCTCTGCCTGGAGTGGCCATCTGTCCTCCCTCCTTAGCTCCATTGTCCCCAAGGCTGGGTCACTGTCACTGATGGGCCCAGCCTCAGCCAGTGGCAGTTTCATGTTGGAGCTGACTGGCACTGGCTGTGTTTGACATGGAGAAAGCAGCCAGCAGCTTCCCACAGACCCCCCCTGTACCCCAAAATCTGGAAGTGGAAACCCAGTACAAACTTGAAAGGGGAGAAGAATCTCCTTAAGAACATTTCTGAAAGTGTCATAGCTGAAGTCTTTAGAAAACCTGGCCTGATATCAGATGTTTAAAGCTGCACTTTTCATTATTTACAGTTGCAGAGGTATTTTGGGATTGCAGTGTGTCCATGGAATAAGTGATGAGCTATGAGCAGGTTTCAGTTACACAGGAGCTTTTTAGGAGCTGTGTCTGTAATCCATAACTTCCGACAGCAAACCCTGCCCTGGCATTTTGGCTTCAACCTGAGCATGTTCCACTTCCGAATGCTGCTCATGCCTGGCCTCTCACATTTCCAGCTCCCACCCACCTCTGCTGGCCCTCACCCAGCCCCATCACCCCACACAGCTCCTGACAGGAGCCTCCAGTCCTACAGAACCCTCAGTTCAGGTGGGATCTTCCCTGACACAGGGCTTGAGTTGTTGAAGCTTTCTCAGCTTTTCCTTTTCTGCAGAGTTCTGATTTCTTTCCAGGTGCTAAATAAGTTTCCAGCATTTTCTTTAGCTTAGTTTGTTAAAGGTATTTTTTTTTTGCTGTGGTGTCAATAAGATAATGCAGCATAACTTTATTTTGGGCTGCACCATCTTTGTTTCCAAAGTAATTTCCAGTAGTTATGTTTTATTTAACCTCCTCCTTGTGTTCCCTTCAGCCATGGCAGCTTCCAGCAGCAGCAGCAGCGAGGAGGAGCGGAGCCTTCGGGAGTGTGAGCTTTACATCCAGAAACACAACATCCAGCAGCTGCTGAAGGATTGCATCGTGCAGCTGTGCACTGTGAGACCTGAGCGACCCATGGGGTTCATCAGGGAGTACTTTGAGAGATTGGAGAAGGTAAAAACACAGAGAGAGGGTGGAACAAATGATATTGAGATGTATTTTTGTCACTTAGGGGCTGAGCTGCAGATTTGACCGGTTGTGTTGACTGTTTGAAATTGAAGTGATGCTTTTGGAAAGCAGATCCTGTTTTCCAGTGTTTGTGCACCTCTGTCACACCAAAGGCTGTAGGACAGACCATAAGGTGACAAGGAGACTTAGCCAGGTGTGATCCCAGCCCAGGGCTTACTCATGGAGGATACACAGCATACATGGGTGTGTCTGGAGCTGGAGAGCTCTGGGGATTGACCTTGCTGGATGCTGCTGAGGGCATTTGGATTCTTCTATTCATTTCCAGTAATGGGGGCAGAGCACAGAAGTGGTGCCAGTGGTATTATCCAGAAGATAAATGAATATTTGCATTGCAGATCTCTGGAGGAGCAAGCCTGTTTGTGCCTTCTCTTGGGAGTTCAGTGTTGCTGTCCCTCTTGTGTTTGCCCTGAGCTCCCTTTGGTGTTTTTGTTGTTGCTGGAAGCATTCTGGGATCTTGGGAATAGAAAGCATTGAAACAGTGATTTCACACTCATCTGACCTGGTAATTTTGTATATTGATCACTAAGCAGGTAGGAGAAGGAGCTGTAGTGGAAATGGGAAGATTAAAGGCTTGTGTGAGGAAAGGTTGGATACAAATGTACTCAGAATTAGTAAATAATGCAGCTGTGACCTTGTGCAGCTCTTGTTTGCAGGTGCTGCTCTCAGTACCTGTATAAGGCTGTTAGATATTTATCTTTTTTTTTTCCTAGTGAGTTACTAATTGCTGCTATAAAGAAGGAAATTAACACTGGAGATCATAAATATGTCTTGTAGAAATTGTATTTTAATGGAAATGTTCAGGATAAATACTAGAAAATGACCAAGAGGTCCAGACTACCTGCTATAACTCTTAATTTATTTGGGGAACATTTTGCTTATGAAATTAAGAGCTCTGACTTTTTTTTTGTTGTGTGTATCAGCAATAAACCAGTGAATAATGAGGTTGTTAAAAATCCCTTGTCCTTGCCTGTTACAATGACACTTTCCTCTCCTTGGATTCTTGAGTTTTGAGGTTCTGCTAGGTTGGGAATTTTAAAGCATCACCACAGGTGTCTATAGACAAAATTTTACCAAGTAAACCACATCACTGTGCTTAGAATAAATCCTAAACCAATCCATATGTGGGGATGTCAAATGAGATTATTTGGGTGCTTTTGTGCAGTGGATTTATGATGAACATGCAGTATTTGGGAACTTAATTTGTTTTTTAGCAAGATAACAAGTCCAGCTCTGAATTAATGACATCAATGTTGGAATTGAATAAGTTGATGATTTTATTCTGCTGCACATTGGCTCTTTGTGTACTTGGTCAGCCTACACTGAAGCTGCAAATAAAACTGGTAGGAGATGTTTTTTCCCCTTAAATTGCTCTGAATTTTGGTCAGGGTCTTTTCTCATGGTTCCCAAGTGCCCTCTAGTGCAGCTGTAGCTACAAGTGGAGCATTTTTTTGTTGCCTCCTTTGCTTTAAACTTGCTGTGATTTCCCCACTCAGCTGGGCTGAGTTTCCCCAGTGTCTGTATTTGAAATGAATACATGATTTTAGCCATATGTACCTTGATGCTGTGGTACCTGCCCAGCTCTCAGGTGAGCACTGAGCATCCTGTGCTGGGCAGGAAACTCCTGACACCCCTGTCTGCAGAGCACAATGCTCAGCAACTTTATTAACCAGTCTTCAGCTCTGCTCCAGCAAAAATGCCTGGAATCACTCTGCTTCACCTCCCAAATCAGGTCTGTTACACCTGTAATAAAGCACAGCAGCTTTTCAATGTGCTTTCTGAATTCTCCTCTCTCTGACTGAATCTCAACCTGAGGTTTTTTAAATAAGATTGATTTTTGAAGGAATACCATTGAAGATTGAAGTGAGCTTGCTATTTTCTGTCTCATTCTCTTGACAAGTCATCTCTTCCACTGCACACAAACAGAGCTGATTCACTGGTATGTTATTAAAATATGTTGAAGCAATTTAAACATGCTTTAGAATTTCTGTTCAGAAACATTCAAATTGCTGCCTCCGAGATGGTTACAGCTACTACAGGAATTCAAATGTCCTCCTCTGGGTTATGAAAGCTGTTAGGTGAATCTAATTACTGCTCATTGATTGTATAAATGGTTTTATTTGATCTGTTTGTGGTGTGCTAAGGCCTCTGTTCTCTTTGCTGTGCAAACATGTGTGGTAATGGCAATACCTGCTAAAAGCAGTAATGGCTCTCCAGTGCTGGGCTGGGCTGTTTAGGGCAGCTTGAGCTGTGGAAATTCAATGTAGAGATCATTATTGCAGCCTGCCAGGTGAATCCTGCCTTTGGACACGCCTGCCCTCTGGAATAAGGGCATTGAAATACTGTGTGTGATGCAGTTATGTGCACATGAGGCTTTACAGAGAGCTGGAATCAGGAAGTGTGGTGGACATGCAGTCACTGCCTGTTCCCCACCCCCTGCCCTGCTCAGATATTATAAATATTATATTAAAAATGTATATAATATATATATATTTATGCATTATATATATTTATATATATAAATATATAAACATATATAATGCATAAATATATATAAATGCATTTATATATATTTATATATATAAATATTTATATATATTTATATATATTTATATATAAAAATACATTTATATATATGTATTTATATATATTTATATATCTGAATATTTTCCCCTTTTCCTAAGTGTTTCTTTTGCAAAACAAGCTAGTTTATGAGGATATACCATGTAGTTGTGAATTTCTGGCAGAGCTTTTTTAAAAATGCCTTTATAGCTTCTGAATGTTTGGGTTTTTTTAAATGTGATATAAATGAAATGCTCATTACCAGAAGAAGTTGAGATTGTGTCTGGTGCCATGGTAATTAGCAGGTTTTATAGTGTACATAATTCTGAAATTGTGAAGGTTTCCTTCAGTAGCTGATAGACTTAAATCTAAGTATGTGAAGTGTCATCACTTCAGTATTACGTGGAATAATTGAAATGGAATTAAAAAACATTGGTTATTTGTCAGGAAAAATGAGGCTTGCAGTTCATGACTGGCACTGAAAATTGTGAACTGCCTCATCAGCTGAAAGACCAGATCAACACTTGGATGGAATAAATAAATTATTCCTAAATCTTTCTCAGATCCTGGGAATATTTATACTGATGAGTGCAGAGCAAACTCGGTGTCTTTATCCATGATGTGTTTAATGTGAGGAGCTTCTAGACTTGAAAAAACAGATTTTCCTCATAAACTGGCTAAATCCAAAGGTAGCTGGGAATAACAACTGCCACTCTTTCTTTAGGTCCTACTGTAATTATTCTCTGATCTATTGGTTTAATAAATGGGATTTATTGTCAGAAATTGTAAAAGGTGTGTATTAAAAAGATGAAACAGATGATAGGATGTATGGCACAGGGTTGTCTGGCAGTGTAATAGGAATATCTGGAGATTTACAGTTTAGTTGCTACAGTGATGTTTGGAGCTGATGATCTTGGAGGTCTCTTTACCCTCATTCTCTGGTTCTGTTCTATGATTTGTCTCAGGGAGAATCTTACTGGTGAGTGTGTGTATGGACTGTTTGGAGTAACTGGTGTATTTTAAATTAATACATTATTTTACCCATATGTAACTTGTTTCTGTGTCTGTCCCCTACTTACTATTCTAAAAAAAAATGTTAATTATTAATTTTGGGTCAGACAGAAGTTACCAGTTATAATTTTTTGTTTTAGTGCAGTTTCCTTCTCCCTGAGTGGGGCATTGCCCTGAGGAGTCTCTTCAAGAGTGTTTTGATAACAACTCCCTCACTAAATGCTGCTGAGTGCTTCAGTCTCTGATCATAATATTTAATATTTTATGTGATACTGGAAAAAACCCAGCAGCTGGTGTTCACTTATTTAAAAAATGTCTTTTTTAATGGTTAAGTATTTTGTATATGAACAAACATGTTCTGTGGTTGATGGTGGGGCACTTTACACCAAACATTTATTACTGCTCAAGCTATTTTTAATTTCATCTCTGTTGAGATAAAATCAGAGGACCAGAAATGAGTTTTAAATACATTTTGCTGCCATGGCTGGGAAATGTGGCACCATTTGATCAATGGGCCAGGAGCAGGAAGTGAAGGGTGAGGCTGAGGAGCTCGAGGGGCAGTGCAGACTCCCAGCAGTGAATGGGTGTCCCATGGCCCTTCCCTGGGGCTGCTGCCGGGATCAAGGGCACTGGGACAGACCCAGCTTTACAAGGGCTGCAGCTCTGTCCTGTCGGGTTTTCGGCTGTTTGGAGGGCCTGGAAAGGCCCGGGGTGGCCTTGGGGCAGCCCGCGTATCAAAGGAACAGAAGAGGCTTCAGTTCTTTTCTCAGTCTCGGTGTTTATTAATTGTTTATCTAAAAGATTGATTTTCTCTCGGCCCGACAGAGCTCTGCTCAGCAGCCAGCCATGAGCACACTGTGCTGCCCTCCCGGGCGGTCACCTATCTTTATACCCATAGTTACGTGTACAATATTTATCATTTTTCCCCAATACCTTTCACCGTTATTGCCCGGTGCACTTTTAGTAATGACCAATCCCAAAGTGCCACCATCACCACAGAAGATGGAGGAGAAGAAGAAGAAGAAGAAGGACAGGACACGCCCCAATTCCTCCA